AATTTATGATAATGGGTTAAGGCTGAGCGATATAGACTGTGCCAGAAATAGAGACCCTGCCACGCTATTGATAACTGATCCAGCCTTACAGTTTGGAGGGGTGTAGCTGTATGAAAGCACTTGAAGTGAGCTTTTAAATTTTTTTGAATTTTTCGCACAATTTTCCGCTCATTCTGTAGGAGACAACAAGGGAAGGAGGGAGCTTCACTTGAAGATATTGGGTGAAGTGGGTGGGGCTTTGGTCGGTGGGTCAGGTTTTGCAGTGTTTGATGGGGAGGTGGTGATGCCCACAATGGGTAAGTTGCGGGTGTTGGAAGGGAAGTGGGTGGAGCTTGCGGTTGAGTCAGCGGAGTCTTGGGAAATGGGTGATGCCTTAGGGTCCAAAGTTGGGGGTTTGAATCTCAAAAATTGGCAAAATAGAAACTTTTGAGGTTGCGAAATTTCTGTATTCTCCATATCTCCGATTTTGTAGATATTCGGGATTTTTCAACCTCCACGGTATCGATTTTATCGATTTTCAGGATTTCGAGGCCTCCGGAATATCGATTTTCGGGATTTCGCAACATTCGAATATCGATTTTATCGATTTTAAAGGTTTCGCAACCTCAAAAATTTCGATTTTATCCGTTTTATCGACATTGAAGGGTTCGCCAACCTCAAAATATCGACTTTATTGATTTTTAACCTGCGCTGTTACTTTACACCCAGCATATGAATATTTCCCTCCAATCACTTTATTTAGTCTTTATTTGGGGTTTTTAGCACGCAGTTCAGCAAATTTACTCAATTTGAAAGGATATACACGAAGTAGGTGTAAACTGTATGCTCCGCCCACTTTTGTCTTTACGTACGCCTATTGTATATATACTTGCTTTCACTCACTTCATATAGTCTTTATATGGGCTTTCTAGCATAAGATCTAGCAGATTTCAAAATTTTTGAATTTATACGCTTGTCGATGTGAACTGTAAGCCCCGCCCATTCTGATGTTACTATTTACCCAATAAATGTGAATTTCCTTCTACTCACCTTATATAGCCTTTATTTGGACTTTCCAGCATATAATTCAGCGGATTTAAATTAATTTGAAAATACACGCTCCATAACTGTAGACTATAAGCCCCGCCCACTTTTGATGTTAGTGTAGCCCCACTGTGTGCATATTTCTTTCAACTAACTCTAAAATAGTCTTTATTTGGCTTCCTAGCATGTAATTCAGCAAATTTACTCTATTTTAATGATACACTGAATAATTGTAAACTGTAAATCCCGCTCGCTTCAAATTAATCTGATGTATGTATTCTACATTTCAAATACCACCCTTCCGTCTCCATTTGACCTTCTTGCTTGAAAATTGGCTGAATTGTGGATTTCCAAAACATGATTTGACTTTCTGGTTGACCAGATTTTGACTTTCTGGTTGTAAACTCTCAGCCCGTCCATCTCGAATTAGCCGGAAACACTGTTTTTTGTATTTTCCATTCAAAATACTATCATGCTGTCTTTACCTGAACCTGGTAGCTTGAAAACACGCTGTACTGTAGATTTCTGAAATGTCTACATTCATGCGAAATTACTATCTCCTATCTAACGAAATTGCCACTGATCTTCCATATAGAGTTGGCGAATCGGTCAATAGCAGTGCTGGGGTAAGTTCTAGTGAGGAATCCAGTAGTGTCACTGAAATTCCGATAGGATGCATCAAAATAGGTTTATTTTCAAAATGATCACTTCAAGAGCGATTTGCGCCATTTCAGTAACAATTTTTGATAGTGCAATCGGAACTGAAAGATTCAACAAAAAAAAACTCTATCGAATTCTTTTTATTCTTTGCGCTACTTTCGGAATTGACCAAGTTACAGATTTTTGAAAATTGAAGTTCAACAACGAAGAGCTGTCATGTTGGGTATCGCTTAATTACCGGAGTGAGGGGTCGGCAAAAAAATTGCACATGCATGCATGCATTCAACCTATTAGGTTGTCCCAAAAGTAAACTCTTTTTTTTGAATAACTCAAGCTGTTTTTGTTTTCTTAGTACATCTAGGGTATCATTCGATAAAGCAGATTAAGCTCTACAAAGTGACCTTCAAGGGTCCGCCTAAGTCGCCTTCCATATAAAGTTTGAAGCCAAAATCGAAAAACATTTTGTTACCTGAAAATTGGATTTCTGCGACAAGGAATCCTACAGACCTCCAACTTGGTCATTATACATTAGGCATATAGTCGTACACAAATATGCCTTTACCGAATTTTTTCCGAGCATAGAAAGCGAGAAACCAAGATTGTCCAAAAATGGCAAACTCCGCTCCAGCCCCTCCCACATATGTCATTGTATACTACTAGCCTTACTAAGTGTAATTTCAAAACCTTACCTCTGTGTGTGCTCTTATAACCGAGAAATACCAAGTTTTACATGAAAACCCGAAAAAAGTGGCATTTTGGCCTTTTGGGACCCTACTTATTTCTCAATTTTGAGCTTCGGAAAAATGCACCAAATACATTTTTGGGTACTGCTATATATGTGTCTACTATATAGAGACCAAGTTGGAAGTCCGTAGGAATTCTCTGGAAGGAGATCCGATTTTTAGGATAGCTAAAAAATTTTGATTTTTGGCCCCAAAATTTACCTAGGTTACGAATTAGATGGAACTTTGGTAGTCTTTTTGTAGAGCTTGCTGCGCTCTACCGAATGGTATCCTAAATCTGTCAAATAAAAAAACAAATCAAAAACAGCTCAAGTTATTTGAAAATGGAGTTTACTTTTGGGACAACCCAATAGAAAAGCTCATAAATCGCTTCAAAGTGAAGATCGCGATTAAAAACTTACACAGCGTCTCCTACGATGGTTTGCTTACCTTACGCTAAAAATGGTACGAATATATGAGTTTATCGGCGATAAGTGATAGAACATCACTTGTAAGAGCGGAGGATTTCACAGTTTTATTTGAAAAATAAGGAAATGAGGGTTTTTAGAGCGTTCTGAGAACTTCTAGGTTTTTCTAAACTGCTCATACACGCTTTTTCGATTTTTGAAAATCAATCATAATTCGCGTCAGTTTGACCTCAAACTTGAAGCACGAGTAAGGCTTCTAAATAAGCATCTGTGAACAAAATCTTGGTTACTTACAAGGAGAGGATACTTAGTCGAAAGCACCAATCCAGATGAGACATATACCATCTTAGAACGCTTGAAACGCTGATTCCAAATCTACAGTTTCTAGCTGCGGAGAGGTTTTGTAGAGGGAGTTATGAGGGGTGTTTCCTTTAGGGTTGAGGCGCCCTCCACCAGGTCTCCCCCTACCTATAAGCACTGTAGAGGAGTACCAACTGTGGCAAGCGACCTAGTGGTAAGTGACGTGCCTGATAAAGAGAGTGTCAAGGTTTTAATCCCCTTCGCATGCTATATTGAACTTCTAAATGGCTTTAGAGCCCTAAAGCATGAAGCTTCTGATGATATTGATACTAATCGAAGTTAGACGTGTTAAAAAACTAAAGTAATATGAGTATCATAATCTTGACTGTAATCTTCATTCAAGTTATTTACCATTAGGTTAGTTGCCATCAGCTGATACTCCTCTACAGTGCTTACAGATAAGGGGAGACCGCTGGAGGGCGCCTAAACCCCAGAGGGGAGCACCCTTCATAACTCCTTCTACAAAACTGCTCCGCAGCTAGAAACTGCAGATTTGAAATCAGCGTTTAAAGCGCTTTAAGATGATATATGTCTCATCTGGATTGTTGCTTTCGACTAAGTATCCTCTCCTTGTTAGCTACGCTTAGTCGCAAGATCCAGGATGAGTACCATCGTCATCCCAATGTGTCCCATGGCCCCCAAAGGGAGCAATGGCACACAAGCCTTCTGTACGCGGTGGCACCCAAGTGTGTGCGATGGTGCACATTGGGGGCGATGGCCCCAAGCACATACATTAGATGCGCCTCGCCGAGCTGAGTCGAACGACGCTTTTAGATTCAAAATTTGTTCGCCCTGAATCAAGACATGGCAATGCGACATGGATCGCGGTGTACCTCCGGCTGAGTTCTGACATTTTACACGAATTATGAAAACGATATTATGAGAGTAGCCGACTAGCGTCTTTGTAAAAAAAAGTGGCTGTGAGAGTAAATACGCCACGAACTTGCAGAGAGGCAACTTGAACGAAATTCTACATAAACTCATCCATACAGGAACAACATCGTAAACTCATAGTTATGTTCTCTGTTGGCTTTTACACAGGAACGCAAGCCCTTGGGGCCCCGTGCCCCCATGTGACGCGGGCATTGACGCCAAGATTACCTCACGTCTTCTGAAACACGCACACCAAATCGTTCAAATCTTAGTAGGGTTAGTGCAGGATTGCTTTTCAAACTGATCACAAAGAAACGTTAAAATGTGAGAAGGGCATCAAAAACAGCAGTTAAGGTTTTACCGACGTGATTGCTGAAGAAAAACCTATAACTAGAATGACCAATTCAGACTGAGTTGGTATGAGTTTTCCTTTTTGGGTTACTCTGCAAAAACTTTTTCTTTTCCAGTGGCAGAGTTCATCTAAAGGGTTCGAATTATCCAACAGTAATTGCAGGATTCGTTGATTTGTTTTGCACATAGATGTAGATTAATGCTATCTTCTCAATGCAAATTCCAAGGATTTACAAACTGCTAGGATATGAGAGCTATATGTGTTTGTACAATGGATAAACTTCAATTAGCTCAAACTTGAATTCGTAGTAATGTTTGCTAATTATCACTTCCTGAGGAGTGCGCAAGGCACACACTATAATTTTTTGAGGAGTAGCTGAAAAGTAGAAGGTAAAATCGTATTCAAAACTCGAAAATACTCAAATCATCATAATATTGTAAGGCTAGGCTCTAAGATTTACGATGCACCTGTAGATTTCACTTCCCTACTCCAGAGAATCGTACATTCTGCTTGAAGGTGTTGCTGTGTTCGTGCACGAGAGTGCTCTTTAGCCTCTATTAATTCTCGATGTACGTCATAAAGAGCATGAATAAAACGTTCATCAACGTGACACATATCATCATCTTGGAGGCACAACCGGAAACCACACAGAACCGCATCAAAATGTTGCACTTCTGACATCGAAACGATAGAAAAAGAAAACGTAGTCCTGAGGACTAAAGCTTGCTAGTCAGTCAGACAGACTATATACACAGAAGAGCAGAAAAAAATTCCAATATTGGCTACCTTATATTGCTAGAAATTAGATATTCATACACCCGTACAGGAGAAGAGGAAATAGAAATAGAAATTTTCTCGCGTTTCCAAAGCGATTCATCATATCATATGATGCTATACAGGGTATTCGGCTATGTGTTGCGAATGTCAACCCTGAAGTTTGAGATCGAAATGAATGAAAGCATAGGAGATTATGCAGAGAGCGAAGAGTGTAGTTGTCACGATATATATATGGCAAAAGAGCTTCGGAAAGGAGAACAATAGGGACCGAATCCTGAGCTTTCAGACCACCTCGGTGGTGTTATCGTTGTTCTCGACTGGTGTCGGTTGGCTTGGTGGACGTTCGGCCTTGCGAAGGGTGGCCGCTCGGGTCCCAGTGGTGCTCATCGCACGCGTACGCACCTGGAAAAAAGTTATTAGTTTTGTGATTTTGCTCCTCGAATATATTTTTTAACCAAATTTTTGCACAACTCGCTGCAGCCAGCGCAATGTAATCTACTGCTTTACGGTTTGGAGGCTTCAAATCGACTTCAGCAGGTGACTCGGAATTTGCACCGTATTTTGTATCTATCGTTAGCTCATGGTGTTTATAATTCAGCGCATTTTGACGGATGATATGGTCTTCAAATTGTGCAAAAACTGGACACAGAGCTCATAGTTTCAGATTTTGTGTCTCATGGCTATTTCACGCGCAGTTATTGCCTACACCGCAGTGAGGCTACACACTAATTGTCGAAGACTATTCAACTGTAGCTAAAGGTAGATTTGTGCTGGCACTCATTTTGACAGTGCTCCCCCCACCCCTTCCCCCCGCCCGTCCCGAGAATGTGTCGCGAAATTTTTGAAAGTACGTGAGATGTAAAATTGTGCAAATGGCTGTTTCTGCTTGAAAACTTATTGTTAGTGAAATTTTTTAGGGCTCCTTGGAAATTTCGAGATTACACAACCGCGAGAATTTTGGAATACATCTTCGAAGGGCATGGCTAATGCTAATGGCCATTTATGCAAAAAATTCTTCCCGCGTCCTTCCGCTGAAAGAAATTTTTATTGACCGACACTGTTAAAATGATCTGCTCAAAATCACTAGTATCTATTTTTTGCAAAAATCTCCGTCAGGAAGTGCTAAGTAAGATAGGTTCGTTTAAACATATAGTAAACAGGTGTTCGATCCCTTGTCTAATCTTCAGAACAAAATTAGAAACTTCGATTACTATATTCACAAATAGAGAATCCCAAAGCGTTTCTAGATTTTCACTGCACTTTCGCAAACCGTTTGGCTTCTCGTAATTACTCTAAAGTGGCTATCGTCTTTGACACCTAAAAGGACAATTCAACTTGTTTCGATCAAACACCCGCGGCTTCATTTGCATATCCTATGTCTTGTACTGTACTGTACACTTGGTTATAATCCCCAGACGGCTAGACGCTTTACATAAAAGTTCAGCAATTTTTTCTTATCACATCATGCCGGAAAGCGGATTTGCTTCTTCTTCTAATCGCTCCAATACAAAGCTACCAGGGTTAATCTAGGAAAACTTGGAAAACGACGACATTAAACTGCAGATTTGGGAAACTTTCCGGCCCTAATCACCCTAAAATTACCATACTGAATTCATGAACACATTGCTTGAAATTGCTCCAATACCAGATACAAAAACAAGATGTTAGTATGGTTTTGTGACCAGAACGTCAAAAATCTGGCGGCTATGTAGTTTTTAGGGAGCGGGAAAGGAACGGATTGGTCATGACCTCATATCCGGTCGAAAGGAAATATACAGTTCAGTAGATTCCCGCCTAAATAGTGTATATACTTACGTTGCCGAGAAAATGCGGTAAAAGTCTGCGCGTGAATAAATAGCCACGCCAGCAATGCGGGTAATTTGCGCGCGCAAGTGACCGGCGTCACAGGTGTAGCTTACACTGTTCACGCTCACTTTTTACCGCATCTTCTCGCACCGCAAGCACACTGTGTTGAGCGGAAAATCTACCAGACTGTATGCTTTGAGCACATTTTTCTTGAAAAAATAACGAAGGAAGAGCCTCGTGTTTGAGGACAATCAGCTTTATTAGAGAACACAATCTGACATGTTTCGAATAAACTACAATTTAGCTCTTTTTCGTGCAATGACGTGACGTTGGCTTGGTTGAAAAAATAAAAATGAAGAAAATTTCTGATAGTGAGAAATCAGAATCTTACCTGTACTAGGTTGACGACTTGCCCCTGATTCATAACTCGAACAGATCCTACACGACCTTCAACCACTCCAGCCGAAGAAGCTCTCTCGCCTAAAAATTGGCCTTGAGTAGTGGAAGAGCTCAGAATATTCACGCCCAAGTAAAAGCCAGTTATCATCACCAAATGTTAGTCACCGAAGAAACCGTATTAAGATTTGAGAAAGAGTAAAGAAGCTCCATCAGAGGTGTTGTAGGAGAAATCACAGCAAAATAGATCATGTCCGTTAACGGCGCTCAATATCTCGGAATGTCAGAAATTTTGCTTTTCTTTTGAATTTTGTGATACTATTTTAAGATAAAGCACCCACTCACCCCTACTAGTGCCTTGTTCTGCACTGACGATTGGTGGCAAAGTTTTTGAATGCACGGTAAGTGGCACGATTGTAAATGCCTTTGCGCTGCTTGCGCTCATAACCTGAAACATTTCGCTCTCAATCTCCAAAATTTTTTGAAACTTCAAAAATCTAGAAGACCACTTACCAACTGTGGTGAAGTAGTCGGTGTGAAGTGAAAGGCATCTTGTAGATCATTTGCCGGTGGAAAACCATAGGCACCATTGCTTTCCGAAGAACTCGGCGGTTCCGGTGATTCTTCTCGATCACGGTCTGCTTCCATACGTGAAGGGTCTCCACCACCGGATGTGGACACCTGGAGAATTTCGGAATAGCTTTGAATGCAAACAGTATAACACATACTGAAAATCAATTTTTGTCAGTTTAGTGGGGGTACTATATAAACATTTCCTTACCTAAATATGGGACAGTTTTCTGAGAAAAAACATTTTGTGATTGGCATGACATGGTTATAGCCCTGCAGTTTGTACTATTGAGTAGTTCTTTTGCTTTCACTTTTTCGAAATTGAGTTTCACCTATCTCCTGTCTGATACTCTCGGTGCTTCTTTTCTTTTTTTTTGCAGAATTTGTTGTCCACCAAATTAGTAGCTACAGGATCCAGATCCAAGTACAGAAAACTTTGTGCAGAAGACTTTGGTTCTTTGTAAATTGCTCCCACACCTGTTTCATATTTGGTAATATGCCAAGTTTGCTTTTTGCACTGCTAATCCACTATATTACTTGATAAGGAAGTGATGTTTATGTGGATTAGAAAAAGCGAAGATCAGCGGTTACGAGAATCCCAAGACGAGGAAATGAGGTTTAGGTTGCGAGGAGATGTGTAGGCAGAGATTAGCATTCAGGGTAAACAATTTTTGCATCAGATTTACTGCTAAAATCCCTGGAATGAGTAGTGCGAGCAGTAGAAGAGGAAGTGACAAAAGGCCACATTTTTTTCTATGATTTTTTCAAAGTCAGATTCACTTCTATAGAGGGGACCAAGCCATAATGAATGCTTTGGAGTATGGTGGCCATTGAATATTCCGTAGCCCCTCATTTATTGTTTTTAATCAAGCTCTTTGCCTCTCTTAAAATGGGCACATAAAAAAACTCGCAATTTTCTAATTAAATTATCTACTTGATTATTATGACGAGGTACCTCTAAACCAACAAATTATTTCTACTCTTATCATTAGAATTAATAAAGTCTCCTAAAGCTATTTTTGCGCCATTTAGTCCATGTCGCAGCAAATATCCGGTAATTTCTGATTACCATGAGTGAACGGTTCTATTTTCGGAAACTTCACATGACTTTAGTGCGATAATCCCTCCGTTAAGGCAGCAAAAAACAGTCGAACTTTCGAGTCAAAGCTTTCAGGGTAATTAGAGCTATAGAGAATGAGAATCACCATCGGCAATTTTGTGGAGAATGTTTTGAAATATTGTGACCAACATCTCAAAATAAACTGAAAATGGAAATCGATACCGAAAAAAGAAGAAACCTATCCCTAAGCGTTTTCCACCCTATTAATATTTTTGAATTTAAAATTCATGTTTTCTTACCTGATAACCAAAGTACTTCAAAATATCTGCTTTGCACATTGGACATGTTCGATGTTCTAGCAGCCAAGGGTCTATACAAGATTTGTGATAGACGTGCCTGAAAAATGACATTTGAGAGAGAAATAAAAATAGTGCATGATTTTGTGTTCCAAATCAAGTTACTTCTCAAACCCTTCTACTTTTGAACTGAAATCTTGAGATTTTTATGTGAATAACGCAAATTTAATCACGTGCCAGAAACTTCTTTATCGTGCGCTCCCACACGGAACCAACTCACATCAGCTGAAAACTTGTAATTTGCTACTAGACATCAATTACTCATGGTGTTTTCAGTCTTCTAGCTGTTTACGCGAAAAATATTGAATGCTGTTTTTATTCAATTCTTAAGGAAGAGCATAAATTGAACACAACCATCATATTATAGGAACTTCCTTGTTCAAGAGATGATGCTTATTGTTATCAAAAATCATTGGAGCGCACTTAAGACAAGCACTTCTTTGAACCAGTGGAAGGGAATTTGATTATAGATTTGCTACAGTCACTGCTCAAATCTATTTTCTTGGTAGTTTTTTTCAGGGTGCTGTGCCCAAGAGTATAACCGTATATGGTAGCTTATTCTGTTATATTACGGCCCACGTTGTCGAGTACATTTTACAACTGAGAACCGAAATGCTAATGAACTATTGTCGCAGATAAGTAAATTGTAAAAAAAGAAATTACTGGATACTTTTCAGTTTTCGACGTCAGAACAGGTTTTGTAAAGAAGACGAAACTCATTACTCATCCATTTATGACAACGTAATTCTCCAACCACACCTCCATATTACTTATTGTTAGCAATAAAAATGGAAATGTGAAATAGACATTTTCCTGCCATCGAAAAAGGTTATTATCTGGTACAACTATCGAGATCTCGGAAAAATCTCGGTACTTTGTGTCTTGAACTAAGATCAATCTTGGACGAACACTGCAGGCTTGTTCTAATTAGCGTTTTACAGTCTCTCTTGTATTGAATTTGATTGAGTAGTTGAAATAGTGAAAGGGATTTCCAAGGGAAAAACTCCCGCGAAAGAGTAGAAATTAAGCCCTGTGAAGCTCATTTCATTTTCTAAATCACTATTTCTACATTAGGCCTCGGATAGAGTTCACGCGGTTTGATCGTCGCGATTTAATCGCCGCAATTTTCATTCATTTTCTTTTGCTTGTAGCGACTGAATCGCAACGAATCCTGAATGAATGACAACTGAATCGCAAGCGTCCCATTGCTAGCAAAGTCACTTTTTGGCGCATAGTGGTGAGTTGTAGTGCAATTGCACCGGAAATTGATTAAAACTGCCCCTCTAAGTAGCAACTGTAATGCATTTGTTTCGTCTTTCATATCTGAAGGTGACGTCTCATGCGTCCCACAGTGGTGAATCGCGTGAACTTCGTTTGAGACCTTAGAGGGTCGATTAAATCTACTTTGCGAACGATAGGTAAAAAGTATTTAGTTTCTGGAGTCGCATTTGCTTTATTTTTTTTGCAGTCACGCGCAATTGGTTCTACACATGAAAGCAGTAAAGCTACGCATTTATGCATTTTTATCTACGCATTTACGTATTTTTTATCTTTTTTGATTTCTGCGGTGTACGAACCAGATTACATACTTTCCATCCCCTCTCCATTGCTCACTCTAATTTCACGAAGTAGTTCCAGCTTCGTGCGAAAGTTGTTGTTGCGTTCGTAGGGTTGTTTGTGTGAGTATATGTGCATGAGTCGTTCTCTTCACTCAACTGGGAAAAAAATGGCGTAACTACAAACAGCAGAACGAGCCAAACATGCTTGTTTTCTGTGGTTCGCGCAATGCGAGAAGCGAACAACTCGTCCCAATTAGTAGCCGACGACGGCGACGTCGTTACGGACGGACGCTCGCACTCATCAAGCGCTGTCGCGGGTATCGAAAAAAGTACGGATATGGGGCAGAATGGGCTTTCTAGTCTTGTTGTGTGTAGTCTAGTTTTGAAATCCATGTAGCAGTTCGATGGAGACAGAGTCTGTTGTTTCATTGACTTTTTTTGAGGAGAATTTTGCTTTGAACTCCTAGTTTGCTGAAAAATGAGAAAGATGTCATCCTGCCCATACAGCCGTCCTTCATCCAGTCATTTTGTGCAATTGCACAATTTTTGAAATTCATGTAGCGGTTCGATGGAGACAGAGTCACTATCATGAATAAGGAAACAGTTAATGGAGAACGATTGCTTTAAGGAAAAAATAAGAGGCATCAGTCTGCCAAAACATTTGAGAAGTGGCGCAATTAACAAAATGAAGGCGATCTATGGTTCTTTGAATCGAAACGCAAACAGGCTAGGATTCTGGCATTCTAAAAACGAATTTCCTTTGAAACTTGAGAAATTCTGCATACGGTGTGATTCTCCCATCTTCGCATCGAGCTACCGTAATCCGATGCGGCGATTCCTAATCAATATATTGATTTTATGGCGGCATCATCGGGCATCAGGCTATTCATCCCACAACCTTTCATTTATCATAGGCGTACATGCGAATTCCACTAGCTTTCGGCTTTCCCTTCGCAAGCTCCAAAATGCCAAAGTATGGGAATCAACGAAAGCTTTATGAATTTTTTACTCGTGAGTAAAATTTTGTTGAAAAGCTTGAATGAGTAAAGCGATAAAAAATGGATGAATAGAAACTTAGTGTATGGAGAGTGTAAATCTTCGGTTGCAATTTCAAGGCGGTTTCATTCCTTTGAACAATAATTTTCCTACCTTTTTAGTCATAGGAGGTTAGAAGATTCAACGCACGCAAAGACAGGCCCACATTGCGGACATGGCCGACGTCTCTCAAGTCAAACGCAGTTTCTCATTTCTCTGACCGCTGCTGCCTTTCACAAACACAAACCGTCTCAGTTGGACGCAACGATGTCCAGTCTCTGCGTGGATGAATAGCCCACACCTGGCCCCTTCCCCTCCCTCTAACATTTCGTTTCCTGGCAAATTATACTAACAAAATGCTCGCAGACGTCGTACATCAAGCGACCACACAAATTGCATATTCATGTGTGTGTTGTTAGACTAATTGCTGCTTTGACGTCAGATAAAAGGTGTTTTTTGCTGCGTGCTTGTCATCCCCTCGTGTGAAGCAGAACGAATGATGAATATTCTTCGACAGCAATGCACGCTGAACGAGTCTGTGAGTGTGCTAGTAGAAAATTCGCATTAAATGCGCATATCCGCTCGAGTGAGCCGTTTTTCTGCGATGGTGGAGCTGCCGCGGGCGTTGAAAATGTGCTGCTGCTGACGCGCTCCCCGCTTGCCAAGAAATGCCGCATGCTTTGCGCGGTAATCCGATTACTGCCTGCGTGTGCGTGCTGACGTAAACATCCGGTCCCCGGCATATCCGAAATTCTTGGCGAGTTTTTTTCTGCGACTATGAGACCTCGGAGGATATAGCCAGCAAATGACTGGCAGCTCACGCGCTTTTCTGCAAGTCACACGGCTGGCTTCTTCCACTAATCAGCCCGCGTGGTTGTTTTCCTAGAAGATGCGACTTCCACCTCTTTCTGGGTTAAAAGTAATTGCTGCAAGTCGCATCAAACCCCTCACCTCTTGACTCAGCAACAAATTCTAGAAGTAGAACGGGAGGAGGGAAGAGCGATAGAAGGAAAAAAATTAAAGGTACTGCAGTAGATTGGTTGGCGGGTACACTCGACCAAAAAAAGACTTATCACGGGAGGGGGGGGGGAGGGGGAAGAAGATGGCAAGTAGAACGGGAAGGAGGGGGAGCGATAGAAGGTCTCAATGGTAGAGGTAGAAAGACCACATCATTTATCTCAAATCCTACAGATTTGGTTGAGCGTAAATTTGCTGCAACAAGACAGGATTGGGAAGGATGAAACCAAAAAATTAGAACTTTTGAACTTTTACCTTTCTGAGGTGTCCGGACTAAAAATGAAGAGCGAAAAAAAAAACAGCGTATAAAAAACCAAAAATTGCTCTTTTATTACAGATCTTTTCTTCAATTTCTACGGTTACGGTAAAATCAGTGCGAAGTTGATTTCTGCTTTCAAATTTATTTTCCAGAAAAAATCGCTATGAAGGGTTCATTTTAAAATGTATCCATACTTCGCTTTATTTTAGTCAACAATTTAAGAGTAGCCTTTTCTGTAGTAACTTTCTTATACAAGCTCCTAAGCTTTACATTGATGGAACTTTGTTACAATGAAAAGATCGTTGCTCATTTTTAGCTTGACAAGTGCACTCCATTTAATCCCTTGCTCCTTAGTTATACCAGTTTGATGTTGGAAAGGTTCATTTCAATGGAAAAGGCAGTCCATCGTATTTCTCGATCCTTAGTGGGGTTTTGAACTTTTTGATTATGAAGAACTTTCTTAGTTGAAATTTTTTATCTCTTCAAATAACGGTATTTTTTAATGTCCAAAATTATCATGATGGGATAGTCAAAGTGTGATCCTTTCAGCCATATATTCTCCGCCATATATTCTTATTATTTCAAGCTCAAATTAGCGCTTCCGTCACTGTTTGCGTAGACGCCTAATTAGCGCCCGAGCAAAGCGCAGACTCGAAGGCTTCGCATTTTGCCCCCATCTTTACTTTTTTTGCGCCATGTGAAGCGCGAACGCCACAACGCAGGGGCTCTAATCTGTTCAAAGCTAGACGAATGGCGTGGATGTGTGGAAGCCGTAAACAAGCGTCTCAGGGCTTCTCACCTGCATGGCAGTGTTCGCACAACGTCGCCTATTTGGTACGGATCGATGCATACGGCACAGTCGATGTCCAACTCGGGATCGCCAACTTTCAGACATCTTGTCGGTATACGCATCAACGCTTTGCGAGCCGCATTGAACAGCCTGAAATCAACCGATATATCGATTTTTGACATCACTGGGAAGCAATATCTATACTGGCAAGTAGAACGGGAAGGAGGGGGAGCGATAGAAGGTCTCAATGGTAGAGGTAGAAAGACCACATCATTTATCTCAAATCCTATCCTATCTATACTTGCCTTCTATACGGGTTTGACCAACACCCTCATACCCAGGTGCCGTAGCTCATTAGTCACTCAACGCATGTCAGTGGTGGTCTGCAGTCCTCACTCGGCAGGTTTAAGGTGAGCTGTCTATAGGCATTCACAACTTTCCCTTTTCCTGTGACGATAAGACAACTGGAGGGTAGATTTCATTTACTGCTCACTTTTTAGGCTCTGAAGAAGGCGAATCAGCCGAAACGTAAGCCTAATAAAAGAGTTGTAACAATCTTGGTCAAGGCTTAACAACTGCACATAAGAATATCTATACTTTTTAGAAAAAAACCTAGCACAACACAAAAATTGAAATTCCAATTACGAAGCTCTGCTCTAATCGGCCTCATGTAAGATTTCTACGATTTAGCTCATCAGCAGTTAATCCCGACAAAAAAAGGAACACCATCAAATGTAATCAGGCTTTGTAAATTCGTAAATTCGCACACTTTGCAAGGCACAAAAACGAACTGCTTTCAGACAATTACCACAGCCGTTTCAAGAAATTGGTGGAGGGGGAGGGGAGAGGCACCTAAACTGCTAACATTGGTTTGCTCATTTCGCATCTACTTACAAAGATTCTTGAAAACAAAAAAAACAGTAAAAATGAGCAAATTTTTTACTTAATTATCGTACATACAATCGTGAATTTAATTTTTTTGAATTCTATATCATTCTTGTGCTTGTTCAGTGTAGGCAATATCCTGAGTTACAGCAAGAAACAATCAGTTTTTCTGTGAAATTGTGCAATTGCACAACTCGAGAAGTTAGAGCAAGCACGTAGAAGTAATTGATATGTGAGGTTGCACACCCACGCGGGACCTTACGACTTGCTGACAGACAATAATTAAAAAATCTAGAGGAACTTTTTTACAAATTGCTCTTTTAAACCTGAACCTTCGGGACGAAACAGGAAAGAAAACAAAAAGAAAAGTGGAAGATGGTAACTTGTAACCATATAAGACGTAAAGTGCCGCACGTTTTGTGCAATACGCACATCAATTTACATAGACCACAATGTCACTTATGTTGGCTAAGGCTGGTGTAATTGCGTCGAAATGTTTCAAAGGTTCATTCGACATTTGCTAGGTTATACTCACATTCAAATTCGACTTATGGCCCAAGTGTGTAATTGCACGAATAACGTCAGAACTGAGAGCAAGTGCGTAGAGATTTTTTTTCAATAGCTAGTATTTCCCACTACAAAATAACAAATCCCTAAAGAATAAAGACCCACAAAAAAGCTTAATTGTTCACTTTGAAAGTATAATTTAACTCAAATGTCAAGTACAAGTACAAAACTCGTGTTTGTGTGAAAAAATACTAAAAAAGTGCGTGCGTCACAAAGTACAAATATTCAAGCTTTTCAGCATAGATAAGAAATGGGTTTGTAACTTTTGACGTTGGTATGCATAAGAAACCATATACTTTTCGTTCTTACAGTAAGAATAAGCATCAAAAGGATTTGTAAAAGTGCTATAAAAGCAATATATCTTTGATTGTAAAATAATGTGAATTGAGTGCGCAAAAGGTGGCTAAAATGTACAATACGCGTTCGTGCTCGTGTTTAATTTTCTTAGCGTAAACAGGCAAACAGAAATCTGAAGGGCAACTTGTGCGATTGCACACCAAGTGTGGCACTTCACGAGTATTCAGCGATAAACTGATGGTTAAAACCGCCCCATATAACAAACTCTTGAGAAATTATTTTCCTGTCTACCTACTTCCTCGGAAGACAAAACAAAACAAAAAACCGATTACTCGAGAATAGTGCCACTGCTAGCAAAGTCACTTTTCGGCGCATAGTGGTGAGTTGTGGTGCAATTGCACCGGAAATTGATCAAAACTGCCAGTTTATGTACGCAACTGTAATGCATTTGTTTCGTCTTTATTATCTTAAGGTGAAGCGTCATGCGTCCCACACTGGTGAACTATGGTGCAGTTGCACAAAGAACTAATAAAATTCACAACTAACGTAATTTACAGTTGTGTATGCAGCTGTGATGCGGTTTTTTTTCATTTTTTGGCAAAAATGACGTCCCATGTTTTTTATCTCCTTTTTTGTTCCCCCCCCCCCCCTCTAGGTGCATGCAAGCAGTGCAATGAGCGGAATTCGCCCCGATGCTAGTTTCAAATGCGTTCCATGCGATTACGAGATAATTTCCGTGTCCGCTTTGCAAGCGCAGCGTTTCAAATTGAGTGCGTGCGTACGCGTTTTTATGCGCGCGCGGCCAGCAATCGCCGACACGCATTGCGCGCCTCTGCGCATTAGTAATGACCGCGTTCATCCGTGAATTTCGATAAACGTCATCGCCAACAATGATTGAGCGTCACGCACCTCCTCTGCAGCCTGTCCTTTGCATGAGCATAGCGGAAACGTTGCACATAGTAGAAGACTAGCCAGGCTAGTGAGATCACCATCAGAATGATGAAGCTAATTGACACGAACAGCACTGATGTTTTCGAGAAACTTCGCAGCGCATCTGTGGATCCATCGCCGTCGATGGCTGAGACCTGCAAGGAAAATCTTTGAAAAATTCATAAATACAAACATCAAGATTTGCTGAGTAAGCCTTGAAATTGTTGCGTATTTTGTATTCTCAGAAAAATTTCCAGTTTAAAACATTTTTTGCAGAAAGTTTCCATCATTGAATAATTGAATTATAAGTGTACGGTATCCTTTTTGGTTTCTGTATTTATGCCACATACATATGTAAAGAGAACTACAGATTATTAATCGTCAGCCATGTTCAAAGGGAGTGATAGACGCAGACATGGTCGCGCCACGAAATTCCAAACCTTTTTTGCGAGAAATTTGACAAACATTGACAAAAATAAGTCAATTCATTACCAGCTTTCTAAATCATGCAAAGAATAGATATCTAAAGCAAACTACAATTTTTGTAGACGACTGTGAGAACAGACATGATCCTGCCACGAAACTTCATAGTTGATTAGCGCAGAATTTCTGTTATCAAAAATAAACAGAATTATGGGCTTTATGTTTCATACCATACAAATCATTTTTGGTTTCTGTATTTATGCCACATACATACGTAAAGAGAACTACAGATTATTATTTGTTAGCCATGTTCAAAGGGAGTGATAGACGCAGACATGGTCCTGCCACGAAATTCCAAACCTTTTTTGAGAGAAATTCCCATTGACAAAAATAAGTCTTCATTATTAGCTTTCTAAATCATGCAAAGAATAGATATCTAAAGCAAACTAAAATTTTTGTAGACGACTGTGAGAATAGATATGGTCCTGCCACGAAATTTCATATTTGATTAGCGCAGAATTTCTATTATCAAAAATAAACAGAATTACTATATGCTTTATGTTTCATACCATACAAATTAGTATCTAAGCAGAACGATCGCCTTCCGACGAGAGATTATAGAAAGTGGAGAGGGCAGACATGGCCCTGGTACGAAAACCTGTAGCTGCCAAGTGTGGTGCAAACTCGTGCCAATGTTTTCTCATTTTTTGCACGTTTACAGAACCGCGTAATTTATTCTGAAGCGGGTGAAGCATGTTTATATCATTCTTGAATAATTCTTTTTGAGAACTATCTTGAAAACCTTTGACACCTAAAATTTGCGCAAAAATTTTTTCTCAAATCATCTTACAGTTAGGAAATGGCTTCGTAGCTAGCGAACACAGGGCTCCGATTCAGCATTTCAGACCCTTCCACATAATTATTTGCACTGCTTTATAACTGTCAGCAAGCATATCTTCTCTTTTTAGTCATTTGCATTTGCAGAACAAATGCCTTGTCACTAGGATACCGCAGTTATCTAAGTACAAATAAACCATTTCCGTTTTTGCAGCTTGTTATTTGCCTGTCCCCCTATGTCCCCATTAGGTACGGTAATATTACTATGACAACGAAAAGCATATCATAATAGGGAGGATGCGACGAATGAGCTTGTAAATGGGTTGTGTAGTTGGGATGAGTGTGTTTGCCTTTTTCAATAATGAGAGTCAGAAAAAGTTGAAGGAAAACACAATAAAATATTAAGGAACAAATCATGAATAAAACATTTCACTTTGTTTTCCTGCAAAAATGCTGCTTGGTTAGGCATTGTTTTTTTTTCGAGCAAAAAATACGATTTAGGCGACAAAACATGAAATCAGAAAATTGTAGCGAAAAATCAGCCAAGCATATGATACGCATAAATTTTGTGGATACAAAAGAAGTTGAAAAGTTACGTACAGCTACAAAATACACGGTATTCAAGGAGAGGAAAAAGCTCCGAGTACTTTTCCCGCGATATTACGAAACGATAGCGAAAACAGTAGAAGAGTACCGATGCTGACTGGATTCTCATCAAAGAATGCTCCGTGCAAAAAAAATTGGAAGAAGAGTGTGCCAATATTTTCCCAGATTAATCAGTTCTGACGTAAGGTCTTTGATCGCAAAAAAAAGCAAAAAAATTAGTTGTAGAAACGTAAGACATACATTTCAAACACAATACACAGCCGAATAATCTGAATAATCACAATAATTTTAGCTGTAGTCCTAGAAAAATTTCAAAATTGCATAAGCTGTAATAAAAAAAATTACATAACTGACCTTTCCCAGATTATAGCCGGCTTTTGCCAGGTATGACTCGAAAATTTATTTTTGAAAGTTTTCTGAATCTGCGGAGAGGGACAAACATGTGACGACATTTTTTGAATTCAAATTTACAATGGTGGATTTCTAATGAGACTGAAAACAAAAGAAAACTGTTGGCATTGCTCCTTGATACTAGCTTGTTGTTTGTGATACGGTAATGGTACGGTAATTTCTTTTTGCTTGAGAAAAACACTCCAAAAAAGCAGTGATTGGACCAATACGAACAACTTTTGTTTCATTAATATATTTCGCAGTATTCTAATCCGGAAAAAAAGAAAACTAACCGCATCATTCAATGTGCAAGTCCCCAGCACAACACTGGCAGTGCTTTGGAACCAAATTGCAGCCAATCCAGGCGGTGGTTGGTCCCTCGATATCACTAAGACATTGCTTGGCAGACTTTGCAGCTTTGATAGGCACTTGCGGCATTCGTTGCATATGAAATACGTGTTCGGTGGCGGTGTCCCTGAAAAAATTGAAGAATTTTCATCTCAAATTTTCTTGATGGGGCCCTCGATGTTGTCAGAAAGATTTTATTCCCGGGCGACGAAGAAAAACAGATCTTGACTTTAATTTGAGATGAAGCGAACAAGGAAATAACAGAAGGAAATGGGTCTTTTCTAAATGGTAATTAAGTCGGCGACGTCTTGGTAAATAGCGTTGGGATTTGTTTCCTGAAGTCCATATAGGCATAACGCAAAAAAAAAAACGGGAAAAGGGAAGGGGGGGGGGAAGGAAGTGTGATTGATTCCTTTGACCGAAAGTTGTAACAGTCAAGTCCATGATTAATTTTATGTCATTTTGGTCATTCCTAATTCTAATATTGCCAATTAAATTGCAGTTTGATTTTTGCGTACTGTAATGAATTTTATGGCAGTCAAGATACCAGCTGTGGTTCTGGAACGAAGTTATACTACGGTAATTCGGGATTTCTTACTGTAACGTTGACACCGTATTGCTAGATAACTAGAGGCACATTTTGGAGCTTTAATAACAAAAGGTTTATAAAATAGATTTACTTAAAAAACCAGAAACGTTATTGTTATCATTTATGCTTTTTTATTAATATTTTTATATTTATTGGAGGAAGTTTTTTTTCAAATTTTCAACCTATTTCCTTCTTCGAAACTTGTTGACTACTACAGAAGATTCGTTGCCCTATTACGTCAACTTCGTTATTTTTATTTCGATCTTCTCTGCCGTACTTGTTTCGAACTTTCGACACTTTGAGCACTTTATCCTCATGTAATCTTATGTTTTCCTCATGCTTTCTACTAATATAGCTAAGAATCTCATCAGTACTTCATATGGTCAACGCGCTTTGATCTACTGATCTTGATGTCATTTTAAGCGCTGACTCATAATCTTCCTTGTTGGTTTTCTCTAGACATTATCCTGAGACATAAGTTTTCAGAAGCTTCTTATACCCCCTTTTTGTATAATTGCATGTCTTAAATATGTTAGACAAGCGGAAACCTAGACGTCTAGCCTAGTCGGCTTCTAACAATGCATTATACCTACACAAAGCCCTTTCTATACTGCCATTATAGAGGTAATTTTTCTGTTGAGGCAATTTGAAGCAGGTGAAAAAAAGCAACTTCCTGATGTGGTTATCGACGAAGGAAAGTGAATTAAAGGGAGGGGGAAATAAATTTGGATTGAGAAAATTGCATAAAGAGTTGAAGAATTTGATTGAGATGAAAAACTGATGTTTGGTGCAAGAACTGGCATCGCTTAGTTTTCATTCTATCAAAGTGTAGACCAATTCCCATACTCCGTAATCCTGTAACACGGTCAGAGCTTTTCCTTGCAGGACCGCAGTAGCGCGCGGAACGTCCTGCGGCGGATTTTGACCAATTAGATAGTGGTGCGTGACGCGTTCAGACAAGTCAAGCAGGGGCGGTTAGATACTGTAGTGCAAAATGGCCATCCATAACTTCCTTGAAAAATTTTCCAAGGTATTGCAAAGGTAAATAACGATATGCATCGTAGCTCATTTTTATAGCAGTCATCAGATCTGTGCTGTTTTTTTTTTGGAAAATTCTTGTGACAGTCAGATTAACAAATTTTTGCTGATACTATTATACCCGCAAAAATCGGCAAAATCCCGCAATTCGCGCAAATTACGCAAATTACGCAAAATCGCGCGAGATTTGCGAGAATGCTTGTAATCTGCTGTCATGATTGCCCTTAGTAAACCCTCGAAAATCAAGAAGAATCGAAAATTGCTGCATTTCCCCTTGCTAAAGGAAACTCATAGCGAAGTTCTTTATGACTTTCCAGGGAAAATATGTGGATTTGTTAGGCTTCGAACTTTTCTCACTTTTTTGTTTCGCTTTATACTTCCGCTAAACAGACATAAAATTCCGGTTTGCCAAGAAAATTTCAGTAGGCAGCTGCAAACAAGCCCAAAGCCCACATTCACAGAAAATTTCCAACATTCACAAATGCATAAGAGACTCTCTGCATAACGTCAACTGACGCACTTTGCCACATTGCTGTCACTCACTCAAACGCTTCTCGGGTTGCATATTCTCGGATGTGAAATGTAAAGAGAAATTTTTAATTAGGAGCGTTCTGATGACACAGCATCGTTAGAAGCCCTTAGACTTCAAATTGCCTTGAAAATTGAGCTAATTTAGGGAGGGTGGGAGGCATAACAGATGAGATAGACTTTTCTCAAAACAAAAATGCTTTTCTTTAGAATATTTTGAGTTTTTCCTAGGTGAAAATTCCTGAGAATCTGAGGTCCCCAGGCGCATGAGGATTGATTCACAAAGCCTCAGCCTGAAAAGGATGCTGACCAGGAAGTGAAGATGGCAAAGCAATTCGCGCTCATTTGCATCGATTTCTTCTTGTGAAAAGCCCCTGAGGGGATTTTGATTAGCTTGGGGAAAGCCCTAGATCTCTCCTTTGTTCATTTCATCAAGGAAAAAATTTTCTGAACCTAAAAGTCCCCAGAGAGGAGCGACAATACAAATCTCATCAACCTTCTCGCACTCGAATCAATTTGTAATTCATTGACCGTAGAGGACAAAAAGGGCAAAAAAATTGAGCTAATTATAAGTTCCGCTGTCGCCTGACTTATGTATAAGATTATTAGGACAACTAAATCATTTTTTTCCTTTTTCATATATTAGTTTTTCTGCGAATTCAGTCTCCTACTTTATGAGCACTTTTTGTGTAGCTCATGAAATGGTTCAAATTGCAGGTTTTCGCAAAAAAAACTTTTCCCGAAGCTTCTCAACTTTCAGCAAAAGCAAATGGATGTAATTGATATGTCGAAAGTATGTAATGTCCAATATATGTTGGTGTCGAATTTTTTGAGCATTAGTTGGGTTTTTGAGAAGAATTGGAAGGTCTAGTGAAATTTGATACAACATATACGATCAAATTCGTACTTCCCGGTTTTTGCATTCAGTAAGCTTTTCACTAATTTGAGTTATAAAAATGTTTGAACAGGTCCACCGGCTTTTACAATTTTGTTTGAGTATATCGCAATTTTTTGAGATTTTTTCTGGCATCATTCCATTTTTGAGTTTTTGTTTCTGAAAAGAACTAGTTTCAATACATAATTGCTAATTACAATTTTTCCGCTGTTAAAGAAAATATAATAATCGTTTCTTTTCAAAACCTTTCAAATTCCACTTTGTCAAAATTATTATAACAATGCTGGAATCAGCTCAATTTGATTTGCTCCAAATCTTAGTTGTTTTTGGGAGAAGAGGGGCAACAAATTTTCTCAAATAGAAGGCAGGTATGCCCCACAAAAAAAACCTTTAAGATGTCATATTTTCGTGTTGTGACCCCAAAAATTTTCAGAGACAGTACCTTGTTCCCCAGCCCCCATCCCCTTCCTCTACTTGCCCAGAAATTTTTATGAAGATGATTCATTTTTCCTAAACTGATTTGATGAAATTAAGAAGGACTAAGAAATGGGTGTATCTTTTTAATGGACACTTGTAACAAATAACAAATTTGCGACGTCAGCAACCCCTCATCAGCTGACGGGGGCCGCGAGCCGCACGTACCCTTCATTAATTTCGCGCCTAAAGCCACCCGTCCTCCTACGCGCGCTGCCGCAGGCTTCCCTCCCCCCTCCCCTCGTTCCTAGGGCCATTCAGCTGGAATGAAAATTTTGTGGAATATGAAGACTCTAGTTTTCGGTTTTGGCAGGTGGTCCCTGACAGAAAAGTCGAAAAGTCTTATACGCCTATACGAAACCAGAGAAAATAGAGATCTAAGTCCTTGAACGCTGAATCGGCTAAGCCTCTTTACCTCGACTTAGCTCCCCACGACGTGTGGATGGATGTGAAGTCATGAAGGGATAGAATGTGACTTTTTCGTACAAAAGTCCCCTAGGCGGATAGAGAAATGCATGAAGGATACTGTCATAGGAAATTAAGAACAAGAAGATGTGAAAAAAACCAACCTCCAGAGCAAAAATCGTCGCTCCACGGTGTGAACATCGTCCCTGGTGCAACTTGAGCATTTGAATTTCCGATTATCTGCTCGCTATTACACATCATTTTCCACTGAAAAAGAGAGAACGATTGGGTTGATGATGTCATTGTTGGCAGGGGAAAAAATGAGTAAATGCCTTTTCGACATTCAGCCATTAGGTTTCCTTTTTCGATTTCGAGTTTAAATCGACTCGCAAGCTCTAATGGACTTTGTTATTCATTTTCGCATGAGCCCGGTCGAGGAAACTAGCTAGTTATTAGCAGAATAATCGACTACAATTATAGCGGAGTCGTAGCGCTGATTGAAGGCTAGGAAAAATAGGATACAGCCATTGCATTGGCTTATCTCATCATACAAAAAAAAAGCAAAGTGTTGAAATCAAGAAAACTCAGAGCGTATGGGCGTGCCAAAAAAGAATTTTTATGAGATGGTATAGATAGCTAGTAACTATACACTTCTCTGTCAGAGCATTTAAACATTACTCGAACTTTTTCGACCGCAAAATTATCTTGTAGTGTATAAGTAACTGAAACGCTCTAAATCAAACCATTTAATTTTTGGGATTTCCCCTTACGAAGACTTTCAGAAAAGTTTCTCTGTTACCATTGGAAGCCTCTAAACTTTTTTACCTAGTAATTTCATTGAAAAATGGGTTGGTTATTCGTTAGCGTAGTTGCAACTTTTTCCCTTGATTTCATTCAAGACCACCATCTCTCTGTTTATCTGTTTACGATCAGCCGTTATTTTTCAATCCAGAGTTTTTTCTGCTTAAAGTTTCAAAATTTCTTTTTTTTTTGCCTGGCCATCCATAGACATAGACATATTTTGGGAGTCGATATACTTTCAATCAAAATTTGCAATTGAGAGCAAGAACCTACTTTTTAGGATCCGAAGCAAAATGTATTTCAAAGGTTTCATAAGATCATCAATAAATTTGATGTTTTTGGAGTTCTTCGTTTTCCTGAAAAATTCCATCTACCTAATGATACCCTTATCTTTCATGATTTTGTGAACTTTTGAGAGTAAATGATTCTCGCTAGTTTACTTTGTTATCCATCAAAAAATCGCCACCTCCTAATTACCCCCTTTTACTACGACATAATTCCCAAGTGGACTAGCATCAGTGGGCTTTGATGTTGTTATTCAGCCCGTGCAATGTGCAAAAAATATTCTTCGAAAAAATTCAATGACAAGTACAGCTGTTCTGAGGGGGTTTTTGTAATGAGTTCAGCGCACGATGTAGCTGGTTGTTCACAGGCGGAACTACGCAAGAAGTGCATCGGCCTCGATAAAATGTTCGAAAAGTACTTGAAACATTTAAATTCAACTGACTGGCTTGAAACTTGGATAAAAAGTTCAGCGTCGATAGTTTTGCATAAAATGGAAGAAAATGTAGAGTTGAAATAATTTGGTTATGTTGTTAAGTTTATGTTCAAAGCAGAACAAACTTTTAATTGCTAGGGCCCGACTTCTTTGAAATCATATAATTGTTCTAACAGTTGATTCCTAGTACCCATGAGATACTCACGGATGTCTGATGTTTTAGAATAAAAAATGTGTCTCAGATTAGCCTTAGTAAACGAACTCAATGGGGGAAAACTTGTGGGGAAGCAAATCTCTCATCAGATAAATCCCCTAGAAAAATGCGCCAAAAATAGTAATCTTTGAGAAGTTCTCCTCTACCTTGAGCCCTAGTTCTGAAAATATTCTCTTCACACTTTTTTGATGAAGACGTATAACAGCTACAATGCCCTTAGGGGACATATGCCCTAGAGAATTGTTTCGGTGTGAGCTATTCTATTTGTCAATTGCCTCAAGAGTAAGGCATAAGTTTTCTTGAGCAAAGGAAAAAGTTGGTATATTTATGAGAAGCAGTAATCAAGTGTTGAAAATGAGAAGTGGCAAAGAACAAACTCAAAAATGTTTTTAACTTTTCTAACCTTCTCACCATAGGGAAAGATAGAAGAGACATTTTTTTCCTTGAGTCATCATTAGTGAGGAGGTCTTATGAATTAAAAAATTAGAGTTCAGTTTTCATTTTTCTATAATACGCAAATTGTCATGTCTAGGAATATTATATTCTGAGGAGACCACATTTTATATCTGCAACAAATCTTTTTGACCCGCTAAAGGTTATTTTGCGAAGTCAAATTTCAACAGCTATTTTTGCACGAAACTGCTCAACTCTCAAAGTTTTCCTGAACAGGCAAAAAGTCCCATAAAGCATTTCCTCCTAACAGCCGAAACTAATTACTTGTGGAATAACTTTGCGATGGGGTTTCATTCACTATGGAAACTAAATTTTTGCGCTCGACGAGGCAACGATGGGTTTCGCAGGATTTTTAAGCAGATATGTTCAAGGTATTTCTTTCTTAATCGTTTATAGTCTGTTTCGAGATCAGGAGGATCAAACCGCTGCGCAGACTTGGGTTGACAGGATCGAGCATGTTTTTTCTATGATTAAGTAGGGAAATAAGGTGACGCACAAGTATTAACACGTTAGTTAACTTGCGCGAAGCGTTCTTGAGTTTGCTAATCGTAGAATGATTGGTTTTTTCTCAGAGAAAATGAGCTTTCTGACCAGGGGGAAGACAAAGTTCGAAAAATTTCCACGAAAATTCTGTAAAATTCCGTAAAATTCCTCACCGGTGTGGCAGAACTAGACATAGGTAGTTGTAGAAACAGTAATAAGGCGTAGAGGATGTGCATAAGCTCTGATCCGACCAAATCCATTGGCGAAGGCATGGCCGAGGAGCCGACGGAGCTTCTCGCGAGGAGCGCCGTTCGCGGCATGGCAGCAGCTCTGGCGCGGATCGATCCGACGTGTATCAGCTGTCCGGGGCGGAGCTTGAGCCGCGACGACGACGACGTTGACGACGTTGACGGCGTTGATGAAGAGCAGCCACGGTGGACGGACTCGACGATGACAGTCCCGCCCCTTTTCTGTACGAGATGATCTGCTCGCCGACACCGGATAATGTCTGCCTGTCTACTGCTCCTTGCCGGGGGAGGGGATTGAGGTCAAGTGAGATCAGCTGAGCGCCCACGAGACGTTCCTGGAAATCCCTCATACATGTAAATAACGGATTGAATATGGGATGCGGATGTCATGCGGAAAATGTGAAAAACACCCGGAAGATTTTGGAAAGTGAACGAATGAAGTGCAATGAGGAGGTCCACGAAAGCACTCGCAAAGAAGGAAGCGGAAAAGAGGAAGCGCGAGGTGAAAGATAGAAGAAAATGAAAGGAAAAATGAGGAAGGGTGAGTGAATCCTGCACAAGCGGATTCAGTTGAACAAAGTGACACCTTACGCCATAGGAAATATTCAAAAAATTGACTAGTAAAGTTCCCGCAGATAGCTTTTTTGACTTCAAAAAACTTTTCTTTGTAATCTTCATCTTAAGCGGAAGCGATAGTTTATTGGAACATAAGTGTTGCACCCAGATTTCGTGAGTTTTTATACACATAAATAATTTTCAAATATGAGATGGATGGGGAAAATCATGAACTTTCTAGTAGTGCGTAGATAAAGAAAATATTCTATTGTAAGGAATGAATTTTAGGCAGATCCTTTAGTTGTTTTCTTTTGCATTTCGTTGCTAAGTACGCACACAGCTAATTTTATTAGGTATCGTTTCATAAGTTCGTAGAGCTTTTATAAATCAACGAAATAATACAGGTTTAGCAAAATTCAGTTGATAATGTATGCTCCATTTTTGCGCACAACCTTCTGCTACCATACATGCCATCAGATTTTCAATCCGTTTTTCCAAAACTCAGAGGGTCTGAACTCCGAAAAGTCGTCTAACCAGTGCCTGAGACGGTCTCAGAATAAAAAAAAGCGTTATGTTTGTGATAGATTGGAACGGATGAGAATATGCTAGACCGAGATCTCTGGAGTGCATCGGAATGTAAATCCCGGTCAAGTCTTGCAGGACAGCTAGGACGACGTTGCCATAGGGGTCAAATTCTGTGCAGAAAAGCTCTCTGGACTGTTTATTAGGCCTTTTTTTGCAGTAGGAGTTCGTTTAGAAGGTGCAGGTGGTGCGTACGGCATGTGCGACCCTCTTGTTCTTGCCTAGTGATTTTCACTGCAATAGCTCCCATCTTGCAAAAAGTCTTTTTCAGGGAACACCCTGCAAACGCTCTGTTTTTCGAAGCAATTAATTCTTTTTTGTCACATATTGACGAGCAAACGCCAACTTCTATAATCAGGAAAAATCCGAGCCAAACGCTTTCATAAGAAAAAAAAACAATTGCCGAAAATGCTTCTAGTTGCTTTTTGAGACATACTTTTTCGGAAGTTGAGGAATCAAAGCAGGTCAACTTTTCACCAAAGATGATTAGATTGTTTTGGAGAGCATGGTAGCCCTTTTCAATAATGCGCATCCTACCGCAAATCAAGTGCCCTCCAAAAAAATAAAAATGAGAATGGAAACTCTACGAACTTATGAAACGACCCAATATTTTTGTTCTGGACTTTATGACCTACTTTTTTTAGCTAAAATAAACAGTGCCGATCGGATGTTTAGTATAAAAAAGTTGTTTTCGAATTCTGATTTCTCCGATATATGATCTCCGGTATACATATTAGAATACTATGTAGCTATATCGTATTCAAAGAAAAAATTAGCTACAGATTAAAATGGTTTTGTGAGCATACAAACTAAAACTAAGCAAGGTTTATTTCCAAGCGAACAGATGAAAACGATATTTTTAGAAGGAAATCGTTGACCTCATTGATCCCAGAAGTGCCAAAATACACTTTAACGGTGCTCTTTTTGGACTTCGAGAATTTTTCTCTTCTCGTCTCGATATGTAATTCGAATCCTGTCGAAATGTTGACTCAGTTCATTTCTTCATATCCAAGTGACTTTCAGATAATTTCATCTTTCGGTCTCCTGGAACTTCAGTGGGAAATTTACAAGAACGAGAGCAGAATAGCCTCTCGTCAACAACTAATGCAAGCTTCTAGTGCGAGAAAATCTCCTTAACTGTCGAGGATTACCACGACTATCAAAAATCTTTGTTCTTGGGGTGCATAAGAAGGTACAGTTTTTGCTATTGTAAAGTTTTGCCGTTTTTTTTTTTCGAAAAAGAGGCAGATAAGGTTATTCAAGTTCAATCAAATCTAATTTGTGTGTATCACTAAAAAAAGTCATATGCAGAGCGCATGTGCTAATAAGTCAATCTCAATGTTTTACAACTGTTTGTAAAACATATAATTGCATTTCCGAGTAATGATAGAATTCGAAGTAATTTGAGCGCTGTAATGTCTGACTTCAAGAAACGAAAGAGAACTGATGTTTATGAGATTTCGGAGAATTACCTGTGTTTCGCTTGTCGCCAGTTCTGATTGATGTGACAGGTGTAAAACGTAAACATAACAGACGACAAATCATTTGTCAGGTACGCGATTGAATGACTGGTAAAGTAAATTACGATTTGTAGCTAGCGCTTCCCTTGAAGTTTGTTTGAGTACAGTATTTTGTAACAATCGAGTTCAAAAAATTTGAGAATGAGAAGAGGCAGGAAACTCAACATTTGTGTGGCAAACTCCGCCTCCTTCAACTCCCGCCCTTCCTAGAGACGAAATATTAATATTCATAATAAAAGCAAATACGTGATGATAGTAAGTAGACACAAATATATACATGCCAGCAACGTAACGAGAGAAGAGGGAATTTTTGTTACCTACATGAGTTGTAAAAATGCGCAAGTGATTTGTTCATACTTTTGAAGGATTTTTGAAACTTCAAAAAATCCAAATTAGCCTTTTAAGATGAATATTTTTTCGGTAGGCAATCGTCTGCCTCTTCTATTATAAATTTCCGGGCTCATTAGTAGGCAAAGATTTGAGTAGCATCCCAAAAAAATTTTTTTCGGGGTAAATGTCCCCCCCCCCGTCCCTCCCCAGTTGGAAATCCTGGCCACTGATACATTCATACCTTGATGACATGCAAAAGAAGAAAGAACAGTTCTTGAGAGACTGGGAAAATTTTGTACGTAAGTATGACGTAAAAAGATTGTGATAGATAAGAACAATTTAGTATTCAGTCGACCTTCGTGTCACGACAACCATCACATTTTCAAATTTCAAACAAACCCTCCATTAGATCTCTGACGTCAATGAATAATGTATGTGTAGTGAAGCCTGACGACAAACCTTTTTGAGCTAAGGAATTTTGAGAAAATGGCAGGTGCATTTTTATGACTAATTATTTATTATAATAGGACGAGAATTACGCGTAATCTTTGAAAATACGTATTTTTTCCACTGAAGAGTTCGCATAATATAAGTCAAATATCAATTGTTGGGCAAGGAAATCATGCATATTCGTGTTCTACATACTCACCATTGTGTAAATTACAACGCAGTAATCAACAATAGAATTTTATAATGAAAAGTGCAATAGCAGAAAATCACGGAAGTGATTGTAAAGTGAAAGAATTTTATGTTGTTTATTGTAAAAACTGGTAACTGGGTCAGGGAGGGGAAGGGGGAGGGGGAGTGGGGAGGAGGTGATGGATCATTTTTGAGTGTGGTTTACCAGAGTTGACTGCAGTCACTTGGTTTCATCCCTGCATAAGAAATCTGACCAATTCCTGGGATCTTGGAAAGAATTGAGGAACTTTTTTTAATAGTGAATAAGAAAAAGTTTTTTTGCACAAAGTAGCTTCAAAAACTCCATTTTCTTTTGTAGCCGAGTGTATTAAGGCATTGAATTGAATTTAATTAGTTAATTAATTTAGAAAAAAATTTAATAATGGTACGAGTATTTAGTAACAAGTCGTCTAGAAAACATTTTGGATTTTTCAGAGGGCATGGCTAATTTCTTCATTCCAAAAGATTTTCGGTCCAGCCTCTCCAATCACCGATAAATTTTTTGAGATAGGCGTTGCTATAAACATGATCATCCCGAGCACGACTTGACCAGGAAAATTCGGGCATAAAACCAAAAAAAGAAGTCGGCCATTGTGATGCAGATAAAAATTGCTTGACCATATGCCATGACAGATAAAACTACCAATTCATACAATGAACTATTCCCATCGAACAACGAGAGTTCTTTCATCCAAAAGGACACTCTAAACCTTATGCGCTCATTAGGGCGAGGGCGATAATCTCATCGCCCTCTCGTTATTAAGTGTTCTTTCAGTGCTCGGCTGTGACGCAAGTAGCGAATGCATCTATTGAACATTTTGTTCCTCCATTGTTTTGAGTTTTATGCAGTACTGATGGACTCCTCAAACATCAGGGGCTTTGCCATAACTATGAATTATATCGAAGAAATATTAAGAGCTAACTGGCAAACCCGGCTTCTTCCGGCCCTCTCAATAGTCTCTTCGTACACCCACCCGTCCAGAAGTGTATGTAGGCAGAGTTTGGTCCGGATCAGTTCAGAAGTAAAAAGTTTTGTTAGGAACATACGTAAGACATGCAGACATACTGACACACATATATACAAGCAGACATTCAGCTTTATTCATAGAGATACTACGCTATACCAATGGTTCATTAGAGCTTATTTTTCCATTAGCACAGCCTGGAGTTATTTTATTTTAGTTTATTTAGAATGACATTCATGATGCACCTTTGGAAGAAAAACAAGATTGAATAAGCATAAGACCAGCAAGTCCCAAATATAGGGAGATTACGATATGTAAAAAGAAAAACAGACAAAAACGCTCTAGATTAACTGTAACAATGTTTTCTGCTCAAAGGGAAACACAATACTAGAAAAGAAAATTCATACTCAAGAATCTCGCTTTTTTCTGATGTATAACGACGTTATAATAACGTTGTAACGATTGCGGATGGTTCCCCTTATTTAGACTCAAGCAAAAACTTCAAATTGACTGATCAAAGTCCCGCGAGTCTTCGACGAAACGCTTACCTAGGCAATTTCCTAAAGATCAAAGTTATCAGTAGAAGGATGAAGTAAGAATTTTGATCAGGTGGGAGACATTTAAGAATAAATGTGATTGTCGTCCCTTTTTGATGTATAAATGTAACTTTCTCTCAAGAAACGCTGCCCC